TATACATATATGTACATATATACATATGTATATACATATACATAACATATACATATACATAACATATGTATATGTATATATATGTATATATGTAAGTTTATATATATAATGTAAATATATGTAAATATATCTGGAAAGGTAATAAGAACTTACTGTATGGTTGCCTGTGGGAAGGTGAATTATATGACTAGGATTAAGAAATATGAGGAAGATTTTCCATTAAGTTAATATTCTTTACTACCTTTAAAATTTCTGCACCACCTGAATATATTTTCTACTTTAAAAGTCATGCAAATTTAAAAAATGAAGCATAAAATCTTAGTATCAGGATACTAGATATCATCTAATTGAATAAATAGTGCATCTAAATAGGCACTAAATAAAGTTTATGTATTATGTACTTTTATCTTTTCTTGAGAATACAACTTCAAGCAAAATGATGAAGCTTAAATTACACTTATTCAATGAAATTTGGAAATATACATGCCAAAAATATGTATATATTTTCACACTCTGCATGAGGACAGATATTACAATTATAGGTATGAAAGAAACCAGTACCATTTAGTGAATCTACTCTTGGGCATATTGTAGTAGTTTATCTTAAATGCTCCAGAAACAAATGGAAAATGTGGGTTCTTTAAGGCAGCCATGGTATAAACAAGTGGAATATATGCTTGGAGAACTACACTGCATTTGAGGTTCTTTGATGATGGGATAGTGGAGGACAGTGTGGTGTGTCCAACTTTTGAATATGATGAATTTTAGTGGTGAGATGCTGTCCATTTATTTATTTATGTTAAGTCAGTAGGTAAAAGTTAGTGGTTAAGATTTGAGCTTTTAAGCCACATTGACTGAATTTGATTTCTAACCCAGGAAATTACTACTGTGTCCTTGGACAGTTATTTATCAACTTAAATATTCTTAGACTTACTTTCCTTATCTATAAATGGATAAGTAATAATATCTATCTAATAGGATTTTGATTAAATTAAAATCTGTATAAGAGATTTGGCATAGTGGTTAACATACAGTACAAGCTTAATATATATTATATCTTATTATTATTATCACTTTTATGAAATTGAAGATCCCTTGGAATAATTCTTTGGTTTACCTCAGGATCCAAAAGTCAAGTTTGGAAACAATTGGCATGGTGGATATAGAGGAGCAGTAATGTGGAATCTAAAAGTCATGATTATGAGTTTTTAGCTCTGACTCTATGACATTGGACTCTGTTCTTTAGGTTGTTTACTTGCCAAATGAGAGTTAACATACACCTAGATTTTACTATGTTCTAAATGCCCTACTCCTATTACTTCATTTAATCTATATATCAGTGTGACTCATGATCTGGTTACTATTATTATTTGTATAATGAAAAAATTTTGAGCTACAGAGAGGTTGAAAACTTGTTTGAATTAATATAATTAAGAACTGAACAAGTCAGGATACAAACTCAGACAGTCTGACACTATAGCTCTTAATTATCTAGCAACATTTTCTTCCATGTAATGATAGCAATACTTATTCACCTCAAGGAATTTAGATAAAAGATATTTTTACAATGAAGCGAAAGTACTTTGAGAAATGTGAAGACCAAAATAAAAGGTGTTACTAATTTGACTACAAAAATGTTTTGAAAAGACTAATGGTTTCAATACTTTACCTCTGAATTATCTGTGATTTAAAAGTAAAATGAAGGGGAGGGAAGACATAATGGCAAAATGTTTCAGTCTAGTCACCTACTCTTTACAGAACCCATTCCTGCCCATCTAGGTACACATGTAGCCTATTCTTCAAGAGTAAACATTGACTGTGATATGCCTATTAAACATTTCTTTAAAATGGTGTACTAATACTATCTATTTCTTATGGTTTGTGGATAAATTCAATGACACAAAGGGTACCACATAGCAAGTCTTTGATACAATTTAGTTATTATCATTGTTCATATTAATATGATTATTCTATAATTATCATTTAAAATATTAGTACTGCTATTATTATTAAGGTATTATCATCATTTTTATTATTAATGATTGAATTTCCATGGTTAACACTGAATAAGTCTTCTCTGACTGGAAGTCAATAACTATATGGTAAAGACTGGGCAAGTATTTTATGATCAGCATTTCACTTGTGAAGTAGCCTTTTCTTCCATGTTTTCTAAAGTTAAAAAAAAAAAGACTAGTTATCAATTCTTTTACTTTTTAATTTAAATTCAAAATTTAAAAAACTAGTTATCAGCTCTTACATTCTTAATAATTTTTTTAAGTTTATTTCACTTATTTTGAGAGAAAGAGAGCACAGCAGGGGCAGAGAGAGAGAGGGGAGAGAGATAATCCCAAGCAGTCTCTGCATGGTCAGTGAGGAGCCTGATGTGGGACTTGAATTCCTGAACTGTAAAATCATGATCTGAGCCGAAATCAAGAGTTGGTCGCTTAATCAGCCGAGCCACCCAGGCACCCCAGTTTTTATATTCTTAATTATGAATTTCAAATTTGTGTTTTCCTCACATTTCTTAGAACTTTACATGAATTTTTACCATTTATCATAGTATTAGTAAAACTATTCTTTGCCCACATAAGGAGTTTAGAAGCCTAATAAATGGCCTGAGTGACTCCGTTCAATAGGAATCAGAGGTTACTGACTTGCAGTGATTATACTATGGGGACACAATGTTCTCATCATTTTTCTTTGAAGCTATCTTTAGAATCAGTGTCATTGAAGCAATTAATCCCTTCTTTTATAAATTAATGTTGTATTTATTGGCAACATCAACTTGTAGCCCTGTGACTCTTCTCTATTTATCTAGAAGGCTGGTTGGAGGCTTTCTGTTATACTGCTTCATTATGTAAGTCAAATGCCATAGATTTGCATGATAACAATCCTTCTACACTAAGCAAACACGCTGCTGGCTATACTTACAACTTTAATCACATACACACAAGCACACACAGAATGGAAAATTGACCTTATGTTATTTTGTACTTAGGTTATAAGTTTTGTTTCTGTTTTGTTTCTTAAATTCCACATATGAGTGAAATCAAATGATATTTGTCTTTCTCTGACTTACTTATCTCACTTAGAATAATACAGTCTCACTCCACCTGCATTGTTGCAAATGGCAAGATTTCATTCTTTTTGATGGCTGACCAATATTCCATTTTATGTGTATACCACATCTTCTTTATCCATTCATCAGTCGATGGACATTTGAGCTCTCTCCATAGTTTCTATTGTTGATAATGCTGCTATACACGTTGGAGTGCATGCACCTTTGAATCTGTAGAATCTGTAGTTTTGTATCCTTTGGATAAATACCTAATAGTGCAATTGCTGGGTAACAGGGTAGAAGACATGAATAGACACTTTTCCAAAGAAGACATCCAGGTGGCCAACAGATACATGAATAATGTTCAACCTCACCCATCATCAGGGAAACACAAATGAAAACTATGATGAAATAACACCACACACTTGTCAGAATGGCTAAAATTAACAATACAAGAAAAAACAGGTGTTGGCAATGATGAAGAGAAAAGGGGAACCCTCTTGCACTGTTGGTGGGAATGGAAACTGGTGCGACCACTCTGAAGAACAGTATGGGGGTTCATCGAAAAACTAAAATGAGAATGATCCTACTATTCTCTTTAGCTTCTATCTGCAAGAATATGAAGTAAGGGAGGGGTGCTGTGGCTATTTATAAATATAACTAACTGCTATACAAATGCATAGTGGTTTATTTAGTGTGTGCAGTGGTCGGTCCATATCCTTGTACATTTCTTTAGCTAGGTTGGTTAATATTTTG